ATGCACAGTTCAGTGACATCGACTACGCTCTTCCAATTGTGCTGCTATTCTCACTTTAGATGAAGGTTTACAGAAAAAAATAGTTTCTCATTAACAGTTAGTACACATGTTGCCCTATGACAATGGTTAACAACCTCACAAAACATCAACACTATCCTTAACCTTGGGTTCCCTATCACAAGCTTTCCCGTCCCCTTCTGCCTTCCAGTCCCTGTCCCTGGACTGCTGTGCTTCATTAGTCCCATTTGGTTTTATATCAGTGTTTCTTGAATACTTGCTGTGGCCACACATGTTCCAGGCACTGAGGACACAGCCTTGACCAGGAAGCTCCTGGCCCTGCCTTTGCAAACAGCAGACACAGACCCTGGGTGCTGTAAGGCAGCATGCCACCCATCTGTAGTGCTGACCGGACCCAGCACACAGTAGCCGCTCAATGGCTGGTGTCTTCCTGGGTCAGGCCAGGCCTAACTCTGCCCTTGTCCCCACATTCTGGGCCTCAGGGCTAGTATCTTGACTATGGGGGTCCCAGATGCCATGGGTGCCATGCTTGTCACAGCTTCCCCCAGCCTGGTCAGGCCTAGGTCCCTGCTTTTCTCCCCATTAACACACTGACCTCTCAGGGTCCCCTTTGCCCTGCCTGTTCGGCCTGCCCGGGCCTCCCCCTCCTGGCCAGGATGACCCAGACAACCACCATTTCTCTGCTTTCAGGTCCCCGGTGTCCAGAAAATTATGGGGTTGTTTCTGGAGAAGCAGCATTACTGGGGGCCTTCTTGGATAGCCCTTCTCTGACAAGGCCTCCTGGAGTCCTTCCCTCTTCTGGCGCCTATGACTTGGGGAAAATCCTGGAGGGACAGCGGGGTGCCTTTCCATCTAGGGAGAGAAAGTCCACTGGAGTGTCCATGATCTACTGGGAGAGCCTCCTGCCAGTCTCCGGCAGCGGGGAGGCGAGCATCAGCTTGCGGCTGACTGCACCACTGAGGGCTGAGGAGGGTAGCCTGCCCAGGGGGAGGGCCCTCAAAGACTGCCCGACGCCAGGGAAGCAGCTGAGGGTGCACAAGCAACAGAAGCCATATACGCGGGAGGCACCCAGGAGTGCCTTCCTGTATGCCCCAGTTCACGCTGCAGGGGATCTTCCCTCGTTCAGGGAGGAAGCACTGGCGATTCTGACCAGTGACCCTCAGGCACTCCCTACTGGCCAGGTGCCCCCTGCCGGGGACCAGCTAGGCGAGGCCCTCCACACTGGGGCTGGCCTCCTCCCAGGGGAGAAGCCCTTCGAATGCAGGGCCTGCAGCAAAGTGTTCGTCAAGAGCTCTGACCTGCTCAAGCACCTGCGTACCCACACAGGGGAGCGGCCATACGAATGCGCTCAGTGCGGCAAGGCTTTCAGCCAGACATCGCACCTGACGCAGCACCAGCGCATCCACAGTGGCGAGACACCCTACGCATGCCCGGCCTGCGGCAAGGCCTTCCGTCACAGCTCCTCGCTGGTGCGCCACCAGCGAATCCACACAGCCGAGAAGGCCTTCCGCTGTGGCGAATGCGGCAAGGCCTTCAGCCACGGCTCCAACCTTAGCCAGCACCGCAAGATCCACGCCGGAGGCCGGCCCTATGCCTGCGCGCAGTGCGGCCGCCGGTTCTGCCGCAACTCGCACCTGATCCAGCACGAGCGCACGCACACTGGTGAGAAGCCATACGCCTGTGCGCTCTGCAGTGCTGCCTTCAGTCAGGGCTCGTCACTCTTCAAGCACCAGCGCGTGCACACGGGCGAGAAGCCCTTCTCCTGCGCGCAGTGCGGACGAGCCTTCAGCCACAGCTCCAACCTCACGCAGCACCAACTGCTGCACACCGGCGAGCGGCCCTTCCGTTGCGGGGACTGCGGCAAGGCCTTCTCCAAGGGCGCCGTCCTCCTCAGCCACCGGCGCATCCACACCGGGGAGAAGCCTTTCGTGTGCTCGCAGTGCGGCCGCGCATTCCGCGAGAGACCCGCCCTTTTCCACCACCAGAGAATCCACACCGGCGAAAAAGCCGGGCGGCGGGCCAGGGCGAGCACTGGCCGGCCCCCACAGTCCAAGCCTCCTTCCACGACGCTATCGGAGGGTGCGCTAGGGAGGGAAGCCAATCACACTGCCCCGTCAGGTCTAGCCTCAGGCCCGAAGTCCATGCAGGCCTGAGATCGCAACTCTGACCTAATATGAACACAGAGATGGGAAGCCCATACAAAGGACCCGTACCCTCTGCAGATCCACACTGGGGAGGAACCCTGTGCCTGCGAACCAGGGATGAGCTAGGGACGCGGGAAAGCCTTCAGCTGCAGTTCCATCCGCACATGGAAACAGGATTTGGCACTTCAGCCAGAGCTCATCACACCTCCATCCCCAAAGAGTTCACACTGCAGAAAAGTCACAGGAAGGCCAGGGCAACCGGGAATTTGCTGTCAGAGCTGGGAAGGGCATGTTGGGACTAGGATGAGGGTGAGGGTGCAGGGAGGATGTAACTGGAAATCATCCCTGGGCTTTCTAGGTCAGGATAGTAGACTGGACACATTCGTCAATCTTGGCTCAGAAACCATGCTAAAACCAGAAAAGAGAAGTCTTAGAACACATAAACTTACAAGTGTGAGGATGGAAAAGGGGCTAATGGCAACACCGTTTTGAAGCTGGAAGCAGATGGAGGAATTGTCACTAATTTAGGGAAAGTCAAATACTGCGTTGGCACTGGGGGGAATGGAGGGTCGTCTGAGCAGGCTTATAGTGCAGAATTCCAGAGGCTTGAGAACCGAAGCCCAGCACCTATGGATGGAGTGAGAGGCAAGGGGACCTACTACAAAGAGGACTAGGAGAGAACTGAGAAGCAAATAAGCAGCAGTTAGAACCCTTGATCTTTCCCTACCTGGCGTAGAGGGGAAGACTCATTTCTGGGGATTCTGCACAGTTCCAGAGAAAAGACCTAAGGATACTCCCATTGTGAGACTTCCTCTTCGAAAGGGCCCATCCTGATAATGCTACAGAGAAGCTCAAAGTTGACGAGCCCCACCCATGCACAGGAGCAGAGCTTCCAATCAGTGGGATTCATCATGGGATTATCAGAGGACACCAAAACAGGGAAACAATTTAGGATTGGCTAAATAAATCATAGTTCAGCACTTGATGTGGAGAAGCAAAACTTCACCCTGTCCCACAGTCAGATTTAAACAATAACATTGCCTATTGAGATGAACTAAAAATATCGCATGGTTTAAAGTCAGGAAAGGTGTGTCAGCATTGTATCCTTTCACCATATTCAATCTGTATGCTGAGCAAATAATCTGAGAAGCTGGACTATTTGACGAATGGGGCATTAGGGTTGGAGGAAGACTCATTAACAACCTCCGATATGTAGATGACACAACCTTACTTGCTGAAAGCAAAGGGGACTTGAAACACTGATGAAGATCAAAGACTACAGCCTTCAGTACGGATTACACCTCAACATGAAACAAAAATCCTCACAACTGAACCAATAAGCAACATCATGATAAATGGAGAAAAGACTGAAGTTGTCAAGGATTTCATTATACTTGGATCCACAACCAACACCCATGGAAGCAGCAGTCAAGAACTCAAATGATGTATTGCATTGGGCAAATCTGCTGCAAAAGACCTTCAAAGTGTTGAAAAGCAAAGATGTCACTTTGAGGATTATAAAGTGAGCCTGATCCAAGCCATGGTGTTTTCAATCGCCTCATATGCATATGAAAGCTGGACAATGAATAAGAAAGACTGAAGAATTGATGTCTTTGAGTTGTGGTGTTGGCGAGGAATATTGAATATACCATGGACTGCCAAAAGAACAAATAAATCTGTCTTGGAAGAAGTACAGCCATAATGCTCCTTAGAAGTGATGATGATGAGACTTCGTCTCACATACTTTGGACATGTTATCAGGAGGGACCAGTCCCTGGAGGACATCATGCTTGGTAGAGGGTCAGCGAAAAAGAAGACCCTCAACGAGATGGACCGACACAGTGGCTGCAACAGTAGGCTCAAGCATAACACTGATCATGAGGATGGTGAGGACTCATTCATTCAGTTGTACACAGGGTCACTATGTGCCAGAACCAAGTCATTGGCACCTAACGACAGCAAAAATAACAGGTCACCCTTCTAGTTCTGGTCCCCAAAACAAATAAAATGTTGAGCATGTCCCATAAGTCTAGACAAAAACCTCCATCCTTCACTTTGGATAGCTGAGGGTATGGTAATCATGGGACAGGTGTGCTCCTTTCCTGCCACCAATGGGCTAATGCAGTCTGTCACTTTGGTAATTCTACAATTTTTGTTTAGTTTCTTTAAACACCTGCTGCATTCTGCAAGTTGCCCCTCTTTTCAAGTAAATTTCTTTTCCAAATGTGTTTGTCTCTAAGCTTTCCTTCTAAAGATAGACACGGCTGTGCTGCCTATCATGTCATATTCACTGAAAATATCGAAATTAAATTAGTACGTAAATGTTTGTTAGATATGAATACACGAGTTTAGGGGGTAAAAAACAGCACAGAAAAGCAACCAAGTTTTAACAGTGGCAAACTGGGTTGTGAGATTATTTTTGAACGTTTATGTTTTCCAAAGTCACTACAATGAGCCTATATAGATTTTTTACTATAATTTTATAATATCAATTTATTATTTATTAAAAATGGTCTGAAGAGTTTTGGCACACAGTGAGGGCCTCATATAACTGTTGAAGTAGTTTCCTCATCAGTAAACTGGCGCCTTCCCGAATCCCTGTTATCTCGCATGTCCGCAGGGCGCTCAGTGGAGGTTGAGTGTTAGGGCGGAGAAAGTCCACGGGTCAGGACTGACGGCTGGACCCTGACCATTCCCAAGCCCACCTGAACGCTAGTCTCAGCCAAACTACAGATAGCAGTGGAATCGCCACTTCTGGCCTCTCCAGAGGGCGGGGCGACGCTCCAGCCATTGCCGTGGAAACAACTAGAGGCTAAAGGGAAAGCTCTAGCGGTTACCAAGGGGACGGCTGGGCGGCGCTTTAGAAGCCTCAAGGAGGCCCTAGGGGAAGGGCACGGGCAAAGCACAGTTCTGATTAGTCAGGACAGCAGCTAGTCCCTCACGTCGCTTGCCAATAGGAACCAGACCCGTTATGCACATGCGCAGTGTCCCAAAGTACCGTCCACCTCGGCCGTTGGTGAGTCCTGGGGCTTGGGTTCGAGCAAAGAGGGACCGCCAGTGAGGGGGTGGACCCCGTCGGAGATGGGTCACTTCTTAGGCTTGAGAAGCTTCTGGAAATGCGCTCTCACTGGTCGAGGCCCGGACTCCGCTTGCTTGCTGAGGCTCATGGGAAATGTAGTCCGAATGGAGATGACGGTGCCTTCTGGGCAGGCGCCTGATTAATCAGGGTAACGCGTGGGAGGGGCGGGTCGGTGCGTTTTACGCAAGCGCAAGGAGAATGGCGTGCGGAGCTGGCGCGGCGCCATTTCCCGGAAGTGGCGTCCGGGGCACCGGCGCCGTGCTTGAGGTGAGCGCGGCCCTGGCTGGGCGTGGGGCGGCCCTTCCCATCTCCTGAAGGGGCGCGCGGCCTCTCTCCGGCACCCGGTCGACCCCTCCGCTCGCCTTCCTGAGCCTCCGCCTCCCTCCCGACTGGCCCTGCGCGTCCGCACCATTGAACCTATCGCAGGCCGTTCCTGCCTCCCAGAACGCCATTCTCTATATCCAGACTGGGGCCCCGCCTCCGTGAAGACCTCTTCCCTCCCTTCCCTTTTTGGGCGCCCCGAAGGGACAGACCCCTGAGGTCGAGGGCCCCTCGAACAGGCCGAAGGTCGGGCCTGGTCTGACCAGACCTCCGAGCCTAATTTCCGCTCCGTGCTTGACCTCTATCACAGGAAAGCGAGCTGTGCCTGCGTACTGAAGATGTGAGAAACGCTCGGCGATTGAGAACGCTCGTCAGAAGTCTGAAGAAGCTGGTTAAACTGCATCGAGTTCTGAACAGAGTTTCGTGTGAACGGAAATTTGTCAGGTGAGTGCAGACATTTTAAAAGTACATTGTTCACTTTTTTAAAGTGTGATACTTAAATTGAAGAAATAGAAAACAGCATATAATTTTGGATGATTCCGTTTTTGTATGCAGTCTCGATTTAAATGTATTGTCATACGTACTTTTATGTTTAAATTGGACATACAGCTGACAAATTGAAATGTTAACAAACATCAGCAACTAGTAGAAAAAAATTAATGTTTCTATTGTGATATGCCGTTATTTCACTGAAAACAATTTGATGGTATCACTATAAAGTGAGATTTTTCTTCAAAAGGTGCCGGATAAATATATGAGAATGTTGTAAAGTGGGACTTCGAATGGAAGAAGTTGGCAAACCCTACGAATGTAAAATCAAGCTGTTCCGGTTTTTCTGATATACTGATGATTCGTGGCTAGAAGCATTTTAATACGTACTGGCTGTAATTCATTTCTGCAAATGTATTTATACATTGTTTTCTCTTTACGTTATGAAAGTCTAATAAGACTTGTTTTTACTGTGACACAATATAAGCAAAACTGGTTGCCGTCGAGTCGGTTTCGACTCATAGGACAGAGTAGAACTGCTCTATAGGGTTTCTAAGGCTGTCATCTTTACGAAAGCAGACTGCCACATCTTTCTCCGCAGAGCGGCTGGTAGATTCGAACTGCCAACCATTCGTTTAGCAGCTGAGCATTTTAACCACTGCACCACCAGGCTTCCTTAATGTAATGTAGCAACTATAAAATATGCCCTAATGTTAATATTATTTCTTACGCTTAAATTCTAGTATGGGACGAACCAGAGAAAATCCATGTCGAGAATTTTTCAAGTATGAAAAGATTGAAAATAAAAGCACGTGTAAAATTTGCAACACAGATATGGTTGGAGACCATGCAGCAAATTTAGAGAGGCACCTGAAGCGTCACCATACAGATGAGTACAACGCAGTGCAAAGCAAGAAGACAAAGAAGATTGAAGAAAGTGTCAGAAGTGTTCCGAATAAGCAACAAAAAACATTAGACGAGTTTGCCGAGTATGCTGTTCCAGAATGCCTTAAGGTGAAATTAGATAAACAAACAATTGTTGATGCATGTGTTGAATTAATTACTGTTAACGGTTGTTTGTTTGAGTTAATTGAATATTCAGGATTCCATAAAACTTTAAATCTAATTACAGGTTTCCCCTTCTATCCAAAAGTTTGCCTTACATCACTTTCCTTTTACAAAAGAGCTACGTTAGTACCTGTTTTCACTAACTCAAACCGGAAGAGGATTTTCACTCTTCTGCAGATAGTATTCTTGTATGTAAACAGCTAGTTTGGGGGCGTGCACGTCCTGGCGATGGTGGGCTCAACTAGGTGAAAACCAGGTCAACAATGCTATAAGGGCGCCAGTCCCCTGTGATCATCTCAGTAACCTCGGGGATGCAGTAGTCTAGGAACTCAAAGTGCATCATGCCTGAAGGGAGCAGCAGGTCCATGTCGAGGTCCAGTGCTCTGCAGTCCAGGCTGGCAGGACAAGGGGGCAGCCTGTTCAGAAAGTCTAGCAGCTCCTCTAATCCGATGCCACCGTCTCTTCCTCACCTTCTTCTGCGGCCGTCCCTCCTCCTCTTTCTCCGGCACCTCGTCCTCCAGTGGTGTTAAGGAGGCAGCGGTGGCTGCCACCCCCTCACCCAGTGACCCCTGGGCACACTCCATTGGTCCCCAGGTAGCCCACCCCACGGGGACCATCCTCCACAGCTCCTGCCTGGGTTTTATGTGTTATTTGGTATGGTTGCTAGGTTATTTTTTGGGTCTAGGAAAGCTAAAAAATTTTTCCCACGTAAATTAACGGTAATTATTTCTTAGCTTTACGCCACTTGGGCTTACGAAAAGTTTCAGGGGAACTTTCAGATAGTGGGGGAAATCTGTATGGCTTCATTTGGTCAAAAACTTTCGATCAACTCATAGAATATTATGGAAATGATATCTCGCTTGTCATTTAGATTTAGTTAGAAAATTGGTAGTGATCTAGAAAAACGAATAATTGTCTGTGAAAGTGGATGTTGCCAGTAGATTGAGTTGGTCAATTCTAGGAATTAATGCTTGGTTTGCACAAGACAGTAGGATACATCTGTTGACACTGGGAATGAAAAAATTGAAACACACAGATCTGTATATAAAAAACACTGTGTCTCATTTTAGAGAACTTCAGCTTTGATTTACAAGAGATTTATTCTGTAACCACAGGTAATGGCTCTAATATGATTAAATTTGATTTGCCCAGAAATGATAGTGATATTGAGTGACAAATGTCAGAGAAAAATGACAATTTTGAAGATTTTGGCTTAGTTCACTCTGACTTGCAGACATTAACCATTGCAGAGTAAGATGAAAGTGACAAAGTTTATAAGAAAAGATTGACTGGTATAAAGTGTGCTGCACAAATACTTTAATTAGTTACTAAAGATGCAGTAAAGGATGCTGAACTGGAAGAGTTTTTAGGAGAATGTAATGAACTTGTTAAGACACTTCATATTCCAATTTTGTCTACCAGATTTTCAGAAAGTAAGGAAAACTGTACTAGTGTGGTGCGATGGATATCGGTTTTATATGTCCCTTCTAGCTATGGTCTTGTAACTTCCACCAAATGATTGGGTGGGACTATGCAAATAAGGTGTTTGTGGCCCACCAAGGGGATTGAAGAGCTTGCCAATAATGCAAAAAAGGTACATGGTACCCTTGTTGGGGTGGGACTGTGCAATAGGTGTATGGAACCCTAAGCAGAAGACATGAATTGGGGAGAAGCAGTGGTAGAGAAACGACAGCAGCAGAACCAGGAGACAATGCAGTGGGCTTCCCAGTTCAAGGAGCAAGTCAGTTACAGTGGGTGTGCCCATCCACAGAGTGAGAGAGCTGAGCTTCCTCAGGCCAAAGCTTATTAGCAGAGTGGGATCCCCCTAGGCACTCATTGGCAGAGATAAGGAGCTTTGTAACACTTGACTCAGCAGGGCAGAGGCCAGGCCGAGAGGCCAAGAGCCAAAGAGAGGCCTGCCTGTGGGCATAGGCAAGGAGCTATCCTGATAGAAGAACTGTATCCTGAGTCATCTCTGATCCTGAATTGTAACCTGTTACTTACCTAATAAACCTCATGATCGTAAGTATGGTCTGTGAGTTCTGTGTGGCCATTGCAGTGAATTATCGAAACCAGCAGGGAAGTAGAAAGTGCTGTGGGAGGGACAGCTGGTGCCAGAATTGGTAGAAAGGTTGGAGAGAGAAAGGGCTGGCTGGTCTGAAGTACAGGGAGTTTTGTGGACTCCTGAGCCTATGGGTGTTGCCCATTGACCTAGCCCATGGGGGCTTGAATGAGCCGACCAGAACCCGACCAAATGAAGAGAGAGAGATGTTTGACACCATGAGTTGATGTCACTTGCTGCAATTTGATGGTTTTCTCTGGACTGAACTTTGTTTATGGATGCAGATGCTCAAAGTTCCAACTGGAACAGAAGGTTCTTTAGATCAAGGAACATGCTTGTCTCCTCAGAGTACTGGTTTGATAGGGATGGGTAGTTTAGATGGAGGCTATCTAAAACAGTGGGAGATAAAGGCATGAATTGTTTGGCCTACATGCTTTTGTGAATGTGCTTACATTAAATGAGGGGGTTGAGGGAGGATCCCCACTGAATAGTTTTCTCTTTTTCTGATGGGTCTGGTTAAGAGAGGGTGGGGGAAGATGTTGATAGGATTATGAGATTCAGTTGTCAGTGTTAATTGTTAACAGAGTTAATCATAATTGTAAAAATTGATATTATAGAAGCAGTAACTGAAAGAGTGGACTGAGGGGGAGGCACTGCTGGACTGGAGTGAGTGCAGTGGCCATACGTAAAGCCTTTTAAAGATTTTGCTATGCTGATATCTCATGAGGCTCAAAACAAGGGAATAATTTTCTCTCAGTTACATTTTACCAGACACCAGAAAGGGTGAAGCCTGAGATAACTTTTGGAGAACCTGACCATATCAGGGGGACACTTGCAGCAGACATGAATGGCTGGTACCTGAATAACCTCAACCTGAGGACTCTTTGCCCTACTGAAGGACTAATCATTAATGACTGTTTCAGACTGGAAAAATGATTGAGAGGGGAAAGCCATCTTCCAAGTATGAAAGAAAGATAGCTAGAAAAGCCTGGACCTGGCCTACAGTGCGAAGGATCGCTTTTGTATGGCTTTTCTAGCCATGGTCTTATAACTCCCACAAAATGATTGGGTAGGACTATGAAAATAAGGTAATTGCGGCCCACCAAGGCAATTAGACAGCTTGCCGATAAGGCAAATAAGGTGCATGACACTCTTGTGAGGGTGGAACTGTGTAATAAGGTATATGGAATTCTAACAAGGAGATTGGTCAGTTTTGCCATCCTGCTAGACTTAAAATGAGCCATCCCAGAGGTAGAAAGGGGGGACCTAATTAGCACCAAGAAGAAGAGATGGGAGCAGAGTGTGTCCTTTGGACCCAGAGTTCCTGCACTGAGAACTTCTTAGGCCCAGGAGACAGGCATACAGAGCTTGTAACACTGGGCACAAGATGGTGAGAAGCGGTGGTAGAGAAACGGCAGCAGCAGAATCAAGAGACAGCATGGTGGGCTTCCTGGCCCATGGAAGAAGGCAATTGCAGTGGATATGCTGACCCATGGATCTAGAGCACTGAGCGCTTTCAAGCTGAGGCTTACTGGTGGAGTGGGGTGCCCTGGGTGCTTATTGGCAGAGCTGAAGAGCTTTGTAACACTTGCCCAAGCGGGGCAGAGGCCAGGCCAAGAGGCCAAGGGCCAGAGAGAGGCCTGTCTGTGGGTACAGCTAAGTACCTGTCCTGACTGAAGAACTGTATTCTGAGTAGTTTCTGATACTGAATTGTAATCTGTTACTTCCATAATAAACCCCATGATCGTGAGTATAGTCTGTGAGTTCTGTGTGGCCATTGCAGTGACTTATGAAACCCAGCAGAAAAGTAGAGTGTCAGGGAAGAATGGCTGGTGTCAGAATTGGTAAAAACGTTGTAGAGAGTAGGCATGTCTGATTTCTGCCTCATAGGAGTGAGCCATGGGCTGTTGATCTTGATTGATTCTCTTTCCCCCTTGTGAAGTTAGAGGACGTCAGATGCTCCCACGCCACCATTTTAGCAACTGGATTGTCCAGCAAGATGAAACAGTATGTAAACCATGTTAGAAACCTTACTAGGATGCAGAAATTTTTGCAGTGTATTACCTGAAAATAATATGGAATACTTCTTTTCTAATAACAAATGTGCATATTTCAATTTAATTTTGGAAACTTTAAAATCTTTAAAGCAAGTTACAGTAACATTGCAAAGTGAGCAGTTAACCGTGAGTGATGTTTTTGGTATGTGAAAACTAAGCTAAAATTAAGAACTATTAATAATACGTTTGGAAACACATTAAATAGTTTAATGTGAGAGAAAAAGTTAACCTTGAAAATGATAGTGTATTAGGAGCAGTTTATCGAGATCATTGTAATCAGATTCTAATTAGTTCTGAACTTAATGTGAAGGCTGTATTGACATTTAAAAAGCATTTGGAAAGTGGTAGAAAATCTGAATTCTGGGAAGAAAACCATTCACAATATCCCCAGTTAGATGAAATTGCTATGATAATTTTGGGTGCATCAGCTACTCATCACTTATCTGTCAGTTTGTTGTAGTGTGGTGGCTCGTGTGTTGCTGTGATGCTAGAGACTATGCCACTGGTATTTCAAATACTAGCAGAATCACCCATGGTGGACAAGTTTCAACAGAGCTTCTAGACTAAGTCTAGCAAGAAGGACTTGGTGGTCTACTTCTGAAAAAACTGGTCAGTGAAAACCTTATGAATGGCAGCAGAATGTTGTCTGATATAGTGCCAAAAGATGAGCCCCTCAGGTTGAAAGGCACTCGAAATAATAACTGGGAAAGAGCTGCCTCCTCAAAGTAGAGTTGACCTTAATGACATGGATGGAGTTAAGCTTTCAGGACCTTCATTTGCTGATGTGGCATGACTCAAAATGAAGGAAAAAAAAAAAAAAAACAGCTGCAGACAACCATTAATAATCAGAACGTGGAACATTTCCTAATTATCTAGGAAAATTGGAAGTCATCAAAAATGAAATGGAACACATAAAGATTGCCATCCTAGGCATTCTGAGCCAAAACAGACTGGTATTGGTCATTTTGAATCAGACAGTCATTGTCTGGGAATGTATATTCAAGCATCAAAATCTATTCTTGAGATGGTCTCTAAGTTCAGATGGGATACACAGAAGTCATATCAACTACATCTGTGGAAAGGGACGATGGAGAAGTTCAATATCATCAGTCAGAACAAGGCCAGGGGAAGACTGCAGAACAGACCATCATTGCTCATATGCAAGTTCAAGTTGAAACTGAAGAAAATTCAAACAAGTCCACCAGAGCCAGGAATGACAGATTGAAGAGGGATGGTGTTGCATTCATCGTCAAAAAGAACATTTCAATATCTATCATGAAGTACAGCACTGTCAGCAATAGGATAATATCTATATGCCCACAAGGAAGACCAGTTAATACAACTATTATTCAAATATACCCACCAACCACTAATGCCAAAGATGAATAAATTGAAGATTTTTACCAACTTCTGCAGTCTGAAATTGATCAAACATGCAATCAAGATGCATTGATAATTACTGGTGTTTAGAATGTGAAAGTTGGAAACCAGGTAGAATCGATAGTTGGGAAATACGGCTTTGGTGATGGAAACAATGTCGTAGATCACATGGTAGAATTTTACAAGACAGACAACCTGTTCATTGGAAATAACTTTTTCAACAACATAAACAGGACTATACATCTGGGCCTCACCAGATGGAATACACTGGAATCAAATCAACTACCTGTGTGGAAAGAAATGATTGAGAAGCTCAGTATCAGTCAGAACAAGGCCAGGGACGGGCTATAGAACAGAACATTAATTGCTCATATGCAAGTTCAAGTTGAAGCTGAAAAACATTAAAACAAGTCCACGAAAGCCGAAGTGTGACCTTGAGTATATCCCACCTGAATTTAGAGACCATCTCAAGAATAGATTTGACACATTGAACACATAATGACTGAAGACCAGACAAGTTGTGGGATGACAGCATACGTGAAGAAAGCAAAAGGTCATCAAAGACGGGAAAGAAAGAAATGACCAAAATGGATGCAGAAGAGACTCTGAAACTTCCTTTTGAACATAGACTAGTTAAAGCAAATGGAAGAAATAATGAAGTCAAAGGCCTGAACAGAAGATTTCAAAGGGTGGCTTGAAAAGATAAAGTATTATACTGAAATGTGTAAACACCTAGAGTTAGAAAACCAAAATGAAGAAACACAGCATTTCTCAGGCTGAAAGAACTAAAGAAAAAATTCAAGCCTCTAATTGCAATATTGAAGAATACTGTGCATAAGATATTGAATGTTGCAGGAAGCCTCAAAAGAAGATGGAAGGAATACAGTCACTATACCAAAAAGGACTGGTCAATGTTCAGTCATTTCTGGAGGAAGCATATGGTCAAGAACCAATGATATTGAAGGAAGAAGTCCAAGCTGCACTGAAGGCATTGGTGAAAAACAAGGCTCCAGGAGTTGAAAGAATACCAGTTGAGATGTTTCAACAAAGGGAGGCAATGCTGGAAGCCAAGAAATTTGGAAGATAGCTACCTGGCCAACTGACTGGAAGAGATCTGTATTTGTGCCCATTCCAAAGAAAGGTGATCCAACAGAATGCGGAAGTTGTTGAACAATATCATTAATATCACAAGCATGTAAAATTTTGCTGAAAACGATCCAAAAATGGTTGCAGCAGTACATGGACAGGGAACTGCTAGAAATTCAGGCTGGATTTAGAAGAGGATGTGGAACGATTGCTGATGTCAGATGGATCATGGCTGAAAGCAGAGAATACCAGAAAGATGTTTACCTGTGTTTCATTGATTATGCAAAGGCATTTGACTGTATGGATCATAACAAATTATGAATAACATTGCGAAGAATGGTAGTTCTAGAACACTTAACTGTGCTCACGTGGAACCTGCACATAGTCCAAGAGGCAGTCATTTGAACAGAACAAGGGGATAATGAGTGGTTTAAAATCAGGAAAGGTGTGCAGCAGGGTTGTATCCTTTCGCCATACTTAATAAGTCTGTATACTGAGCAGATAATAGGAGAAGCTGAACTGTATGAAGAAGAACGAAGCATCAGGATTGGAGGAAGACTCATCAACCTGCGATGTGCAGACGACACAACCTTGTTTGCTGAAAGTGAAGAGGACTTGAAGCACTTACTGATGAAGATCAAAGACGACAACCTTCAGTATGGGGTACACCTCAACAAAACAAAGAAAACAAAATTTCTCACAACTAGGCCAGTAAGCAACATCATGATAAACGGAGAAAAGATTGAAGTTGCCAACAGTTTCATTTTACTTGGATCCACAATCAGCACTCATGAAAGGAGCAGTAAAGAAATCCAACTACGTATTGCATTAGGCATATCTGCTGCAAAAGACCTCTTTAAAATGTTAAAAAGCATAGATGTCACTTTGAGGACCAAGGTGCCCCTGACCCAAGTCATGGTATTTTCAGTTGCCTCATACGCTGCAAAAGCTGAACAATGAATAAGACCTTTGAACTATGGTGTTGGTGAAGAATATTAAATATACCGTGGACTGCCAGAAGAAAGAACAAATCTGTCTTGGAAGTATAGTCACAATGCTCGTGAAGCACAGGTGACAACACTTCGTCTCACATACTTTGGACATATTATCAGGAGGGACCAGTCTTTGGAGAAGGACATCATGCTTGGTAAAGTAGAGGATCAGCAAAGAAGAGGAAGACCCTGGACAAGATGGATTGATACAGTGGCTGCAATAGTGGGCTCAAACATAGCAGTGATTGTAAGAATAGCACATAGCCAGGCAGTGTTTCATTTTGGTGTATGTAGGGTTGCTATGAGTCGACTGGACATCCCCTAACAACAACAACAGCTACTTAGGTCAGTGTTGAGATAGCTTTTTCGGGTTTGAGGTTCATCTTGGGAGACAAGGATAGCTTCAGTGAAAAAGTATTAGAGGATATTCTTTTAATTAGGTGTGATTTTTGGTTTATTGCAATGATGTCTTTTAATGAACTGTATAATTGTGTATGAATTAAATCTATATTTGTAATAAAATGTTTATTTTATGTAATGTTATGGCAGTTCTTCAGCTTAGAACTGGAGTGAATATTAAAATATTAAATGTTTTCTGGTGCTTTGCCTTTATGTACTGATGTATTTGGAGCTCTGGTGGCGCAGTGGTTAAGAGCTCAGGCTGCTAACCAAAAGGTCAGGAGTTAGAATCCACCAGCCATTCTTTGGAAACCCTATGCGGCAGTTCTCCTCTGTCTTATAGGGTCGCGATGAGTAGGACTCAACTCGACAGCAACGGCTTTGGTTTTTTTTTGTTTTGATGTTGGATATGATAGCACACTTTGTATTTCTAATATTTCATTAATAAGCTCTTACCAATTTTACGTGACTATTAAATGCTTGTAGTGAAATGTCATCTATATCAAAATTAAGTTTATTTTCAGTGTATTTTATAGTATTAAGTTGAAAATTTCCTATTAAAAAAGTATTTTGAATCTTCAATTTAACATTTATATAGCATGTTAGGAGTGTTTTTATCACAGTATTTTTAAAGCGACTCAGTGCTGCAGTGAATTCTAGTATATTTAAAAACCAGAATTTAAAAAATAATCTATTTTACATTGTGTTTTTTTTGTTTTGAAAGGTTATGAGACAGTGATTAAAATTTAACATCACTGTCGCTTTAATTATTAACGAATGTGTAGAAGGAAATAATATTTCTAGTTTCAAAACAATCTTGGCGTGAACATAATTCGTTATTATAAAAATGCAATTTTATTTGCAATATAAGGAACGAATTCGGTGGTCATATTTCTTCGGATGAAATTGTTCACGTTTTCCATTTGCAGACTATAAATTTGAGGTCAACGAAGTGAAACCAGAACAGAACAAAATTTTTAAAATTTTGGTAAACTAGAACAATAACCAGAATGGGTCTCTCTTTGCCTATGTCTCTCTTTCCTAGGCGGGATCCCTGGCCAGCAACCTGACTTACTTGTTTCTGCAGGTCCCTCCTGGCAGCTCCAACAAGACCTCCCACACAAGAATGCCATCGCCGCTGGGCCCCCTGCGCCTGTCCCCTGTAGACCCCACAGCTACCCTGGAGGAGCTTGAGGCTGCACGCCTGAGCTTCCGACAGTTCCGCTACCAGGAGGCAGCAGGGCCCCATGAGGCCTTGGCAAGACTTCGCGAGCTCTGCCACCAGTGGCTGCGACCTGAGGTGCACTCCAAGGAGCAGATACTGGAGCTGCTGGTGCTGGAGCAGTTCTTGGGTGTGCTGCCCCCTGAAATCCAGGCCTGGGTGCGGGAGCAGCTGCCAGGCAGCCCTGAGGAAGCTGTGGCCCTGGTCGAAGAGCTGCAGCATGACCCTGGGCGGCTGCTGGGCTGGGTGAGTACAGCTAGTGTTGTTCCAGCCTTTTAGAGACTTTTGGAAGGGACAAAACACGGCTAGGACCGTCACTTGTCTCTTCCTCCTCAGATCACAGCCCATGTCCTGGGGCGAGAGGTGCTCCCAGCAGCCCAGAAGACAGAGGAGTCCTCAGGGAGCCCCCTCCCCTCAGGTACAGTGGAGCCCTCTGGGCCAGCCCCTGGAGAGGGGCCCCAGGTTGCCCAGATGGAAGGGCCTGCTCAGCTCATCTGCAGCGTGAAGAAGGAGCCAGATGCTGATGGGCAGGAGATGGGTGAGGGGGCACCACGCTGGCCCTGGGAGCTCGTGGAGGGAATGTGGACATCCCTGGCTGGGGTGGGGTCCCAGGAGAGGCCTCAGAGTTGGGTCCCAGGGTGGCAGGAGGAAAGGATGGGGCTGGAACAGGCAGTGGTCCTGCTCACTGGTAGATGAGGCCGAGGCAGCAGCACGAACACTAGCGGCTTACCTGCCCCAGCTCCTACGGCAGCTGCTGACCCTCTTCGTCAACGTTGCTTCTTAGCTCCCCCAGGCCCCCTGCTTCCAGCCCAGTCCCCTGAGAGGCGCCTTGAACATCAGAAGCCAACTTCCACATCCTTCCTCCCTCCCAGGATTCAGGTGAGCAGCCCCAGATGGTAGGGGAGCGTCCCCGGCGGCCACCTTGTGCCCTGCCAGTCCTCGTGGCTGGCGACTCTTGTGCTCTGTGCTGCCTGTGAGTCTGTGTCAGCAACGCTGGCCACAGATCTTGCAGTCCAGAGGGACAGACTGATGGTCTCTGCTATTGGGAAGAATTTTGACCTCAGGCCCTGGAGACCCAATTTAGAGTGGCTGGATCTTGTAGAGGTTGATTTTCTCACCTAAAGAGAAGTCTGGACGTTCGAAGCTCCTGTGGTGCTGGGCTAGCTCCTGGTGATTTGGATGCTATGGATGCAGGTGGGGAGGGGACAAGATGATGGACGGTGATGGTGGCTCCTAAGCACCACGAGGAAGGCCCACTTTTCCATCACACGTGAGACTGGTACGTGACACTGTCCTTCCTGAGAAATTGCCGCAGCTGCCTTTTTCCTGGGGATTTCCTCAAGGGCCGAACAGCTTGGCAGCAGCCATTGAGGCACGGAAGCTCAGCTTGAGGTCCCTGCTGCTGTGACGGGCACTTGGTTCCTGAGAATATCAGTGAGTGTGGGCATCGAGGAGCCCTGTCCTCTCCTGGCTCCTTTGCTTCTAAGCCACTTCATGTGGGAGTGTCCCCAGCTGAAGAGTTCGTTGATAGCAGGCTTTGAAGCTGAAGTCTGATTTCTTCCCCCCAGACTCCCTTCCTGGCACAGTGGGAAAGGCTGAGTACTCCACAGTGTCCTCACTGTCTCCAGCTGTGGTTGTCCCTGCCTTGCTGCCGGGACCACTGTGGCTTGCTGCTCTGGGTTGTTTTCTCAGTCCAGAAAGCCTCAGATGATGGGACTTGGCAGCACAGTGGCAGAGCCTGTGGAGAAGGCAACACCTTTCCTGGCAAAGCCAGGCCTCCATCCCCCTTGGGTCAACACCAGCCCCTGGGGCCAAGCTCACCCTCTCAGGACCTTGCTGAAATCAGCACAAGAATCAGCCCATGCTGACATCCCAAGCTTTTCCCCAGCATCCCCCTCCCTGACACATGCTGTGTCCTAAGGTGCAGCAGGCAACACTTCTTAACATGGATCCTCCCCACCTTCCACCTCTACTCAGCCAGCCCTTCTTCAGTGGCTCCAGCGAGGAGGGATCTATTTTTCTTGTAACAAGTAGCTTACCAGGTGGCTCAGTTGTTTGGGACTGGGTTACCTGCAGGTCCCCTGCCTTTCCCTCTCCCTGTAGCACACCCTGTTCAAGGCAGGGTGATAGGGAAGAAGGAAGGGCCAGCCACATCTCTGCCGCCAGGAGGACTGGACTTCATTGAAGCCCACCCAGGGGTCTTCAGCTTCAGGCTGTTAGGCCGGAACCTGGGGTGGGAAGATCCAAAGGGGGAGGAGACAGGCAGCAAAGGCCCAGGTGACCTGAAGGAAGCCCCCTCCCCCAGCTCTGCATCTGCACCCCTCATCTACACCCTACACCCCCACCCACACCCCGTACCCATGCTCAGTGCTGTTGCAACCTCAGCTTTAGTGCGTCCAGGCAGAGGATGCTTAGGTAACCTGCCTGAGTCCTCAGGTAACAAGTGAGAATGTAATGTAACAGCCAGACTGAGGGAACCAAGGGTAGGACCATGGGGTGGGTAGGCAGACTAACCTGCTCTGTCCCTGCAGGAGGAATGGGGACTGCTGGACCCGTCGCAGAAGGAGCTGTACTGGGATGCAATGCTTGAGAAGTATGGGACAGTGGTCTCCCTGGGTGAGGACCTGAGCTCCCCTGATTGCTGCATCGCGCCCCCACTGTCCCCCTGCATGTTCTGGTCTAGGCCCTATCAATGGCCCTGAGGGCTCAGTATCTGCTAGAGATGCCCAGGGCTGGGGGAGGGTTCTTACGGCTGTGCCCTTCCCCATTCACAGACACCTCCTGGTCCTTGCCTGTATTCTCCCTCCTTCCTGAGAGGCACCCCTGTCACCCTCCAAAGCCCAGTCCAGGTGTCGCCTCCCTCAGCCCCACACCCTGCCTGTTCCCCATTCGAGCCTGTCGCCTGACCGCTCTGCCCCACTCTGGCAGGGATGCCGCCCCCAAGGCCGGAGGCGCAGGCTTTGGCCCAGCTGGGGGCCCCCCATGCGGGGACGCATGCGGGGACGGGGAGCCGCCCAGGCCTCCGCCCTGGTGAGTGCTGCTTCATGTGCCTGCCGCTTCTGCGCGTGCTTCCCGGGTCGGCAGGGGTAGGCTTAAGACTCCAGGCTCATGGTCCACCCTCTCCCCTCCCCCAGGAGATGAGGGCGAAAGCCCCCGGGAGGCACCCCCTGGCTGCGCAGAGGCCCGGCCGCAATGGGGCCCAGCCACAGTGCTTGTGCCACTTCCGCAAGCGCCCCTTGCACAAGGCCGGGCCACATCGCCTGGGCCTGGGCCAGAGCCGGGTGCGCTGCGCAGGAAGGCCTACACATGCGAGCAGTGCGGCCGTGGCTTTGACTGGAAGTCGGTGTTCGTCATCCACAGGCGGGGGCATGCGGGTGGACAGCAGGTCATGGGGGACGCTGGGAGGCCGCCACCGAACCCCCGAGAGACACTGCGCCACCCTCGGCGTGTGCCTGTGGGCCCCCACAGCTACCCTTGTGAGGAGTGTGGGCGCAGCTTCAGCTGGAAGTCACAGCTGGTCATCCACCGCAAGAGTCACGTTGGCCAGCGGCGTCACTTTTGTGGCGACTGTGGCCGTGGCTTCGACTGGAAGTCCCAGCTAGTCATCCACAGGAAGAGCCACCAGCCTGAGGCCCCATGAGGAAACAGAGGAGAAGGCCCCTGTGCAGCCCCCAGCCCCTGCTACCAGCCTGGGTATGGGAGACTCTGAAGGAGGCATAGGGTGGCTGAGTGAACCAGGGGTTTCAAGAAGGTTGCCTGCACCAGGCCCTTTCAGACCTGAGGAAAAGAAACCTCTGCCTCTCCTTCAGCTCCTGTCCTTTGGAATGAAGCCTGAGTTCGAATCTACTGCTGACAGGAGACCATGGGGTAACCTTTGTGCCAGCCCCTAGTTGTGACTTGGTACAGGCCGAGGATGCTCAGAAACTTTCATTCCCTGCCTTTCTGGGAAGTAGCTAAGCTTAGGTCTCTGTCAAAGGCAGCACACGCCCTGGAGGGAAACCCAGCTCCTCTCTGGGGAAAAGGCAACCGAAGATTTGGTTCTGCTGTGCCCAGAGGCCACAGGCTGCTCCATGTGATCATCCATAGTCCTCCTGGCCCTCAGTGTGCATTTTAGATTTTTTAAACTCGGCATCATCTGCTTTTAAAACCAGGAGCTTCTGGATAAGAATCTCAATTTCTGACTTCTCCTAGAAGGTCAGAAGATCTAGTGATGCTCTCCAGGCAGCTGGATCTGCAGAGCAGCTGTGCCCAGGAGAAGGGCCAGCCCCCTCTCACACACGTGGCCCCTGAAGTCCCCCAGCCACCCCATATTCCCCACTCCCATGTGCCTTCTTGCCCATTGGCCTCTGACCTTGAGTCCTGCTTAGGTGGACAGTTCCGGGAGTTCCTCCCATAGGTGAACAAGGTTGACTACCAAGAGGAGGGGCCCAAGGGTGTGAAGTGGGTTGCTGGCCAGGCTTGGATGAGGCCATCAGCACCTTTGGGGCAGGCCTTCGCTCCCACAGCCCACATGATAATCCAGAATAATCTCTCCCTCTCAGGATCCTTAATCACATCTGCAAATTCCCTTTTGCCAAGTGAGGTAATTTATTCACAGGTTGTAAGAATTAGGACATAGAAATCATTATGGGGCAATTATTCAGGGACGGTAAGGGTGGTGTTGGGGGATAGTACCGCACTGAGGGAGGATGGGTAGTTTTTTAATAAAGCTTTTCGTATTTAAAAGTACTTTATGTTTACTTAGAAAAATTTGAAATATGCAAGAGGGAAAACAATATTAAAATGGTCTCTAGTTTCACTGTCTCAAGTCAACACTAATTACAGGCAGAAACTTTCTTTACATAGCATCCTGTGAGGCTATTATATGTAGTTTTAAACCATACTCCTTTCATTCTGTCATTTCCCTGGGTTATTGAACACTTAGCATGTTTTTAAAGGCCTGGGTGAATCTTCCATTTTTTGGTCCGTGTCACGTCTACTAAGTCCAGAGATTTCCCTGATTTCCCTGATGGCATGTGAAGCTCTCGCTAACACTCCTGAGCTTTTACCTCTGGTGTAACTCTTGGCTATTTTCCTTAGGACAAATTTCCCAAAGTGGTCGTCTTTGTATAAGTCTTTTACATCCCTAGTTAGATTTATTCCGAAGTATTTTATATTTTGGGGGGCTATTGTAAATGATACTGTTTTACTGATTTCCTGAGTTCTCTTTGTTAATGTAGATTTTTGTATGTTGATCTTTTACTCTGCCACTTCGCTGAATCCTTTCTTTTAGTTCTGGTAGCTAGCTTGTGCAGTCTCTGAGATTTTCTGTGTATAGAATCATATCATCTGTGAATGGGGATAGTTTTACTTTTCTCACCAATTTGTTGTTGTTAGGTGCCATCAAGTAGGTTCTGACTCATAGTGACCCCATGTACGACAGAAAAAGACACTGCCCAGTCCTGCGCCATCCACGCAGTCATTGTTATGATTGCAGCCCATTGTTGCAGCCAGTGTGTCAGTCCATCTCAATTCAGGGTCTTCCTCTTTTTCACTGACCCTCTACCAAACGTGATGTCCTTCTCCAGGGACTGATCTTTCCTGATAACGTGTCCAAAGTATGTGAGATGTAGTCTTGCCATCCTTCTAAGGAGCATTCCAGTTGTACTTCTTCCAAGACAGATCCGTTCGTTCTTTTGGTAGTCCATGGTATATTCGATATTCTTCCCCAACACTGCATTTGAAAAGCGTCAATTCTTTGGTCTTCCTTATTCATTGTCCAGCTTTCACATGCATATGAGGTGATTGAAAACACCATGGCTTGGGTCAGATGCACCTTAGTCTTCGTGGTGACATCTTTGCTTTTCAACACTTTAAAGGTATTTTGCAGCAGATTTGCTCATTGCAATGGGTCTTTTGACTTTTTGCTGCTTTGATGGGTGTTGGTTGTGGATCCAAGTAAAATGAAATCCTTGACAACTTCAGTCTTTTCTCCGTTTATCATGGTGTTGCTTATTGGTCTAGTTGTGAGAAATTTTGTTTTCTTTATGTTGAGGTGCAATCCATACTGAGGCTGTCTTTGATCTTCATCAGTAAGTGCTTCAAGTCCTCTTCACTTTCAGCAAGCAAGGTTGTGTCATCTGTATAACGCAGGTTGTTGATGAGTCTTCCTCCAATCCTGATGCCGCGTACATTTTCATACAGTGCAGCTTCTCAGATTATTTGCTCAGTATACAGATTAAGTACGGTGAAAGGATACAACCCTGATGTGTACCTTTCCTGACTTTAAACCACACAGTATTCCCTTGTTCTGTTCAAACGACTGCCTTTTGATCTATGTACAGGATCCTCATGAGCACAATGAAGTGTTTTGGAATTCCCATTCCTTGCAGTGTTATCCATAATTTGTTATGATCCGCGCAGTCGAATGCCTTTGAATAGTCAATAAAACATAGGTAAACATCTTCCTAATATTCTCCGCTTTCAGCCAGGATCCATCTGAAATCAGCAGTGATTTTCCTCGTTCCACGTCCTCTTCTAAATCTGGCTTGAATTTCTGGCAGTTCTTTGTTGGTGTACTGCCACAGCCGCTTTTGAATGATCTTCAGTAAAATTTTACTTACCAATTAGGATGTTCTTTATTTCCCTTTCTCGCCTTAACTCTTCTAGCTAGAATTTCCAGTACAATATTAAATAAGGGTGATGATAAAGGGCATCCTTGTCTGGTTCCCGTTCTTAAGGGGAATGCTTGCAGTCTCTGTTGAAAGTAATGTTGATTGTTGGTTTTGTATATATGCCCTTAATTATACTGAGGGATTTCCCTTCTATTCCTATTTTGCTGAGAGATTTTTATTAGGAAAGGGCGTTGGATTTTATCAAAAGCCTTTTCTGCATCTAATATATGTGGTGAATTACATTGATTGATTTTCTAATGTTGAACCATCCTTGCATACCTGGGATGAATCCGACTTGGTCTTAATTTTTTTTTTTTGGATATGCTGTTGAATTCTATCAGCTAACTTTTTTGTTTTAATTTTTTTAAATTGTACCTTAGGTGAAGGTTTACAGAACAAATAGTTTCTCATTAAACAGTCGGTATACATATTGTTTTATGACATTGGTTAACAACCCCATGACATGTCAACACTCTCCCTTCTCGACCTTGGAGGACCTTTTTTTTGCTGAAAATATACATAGCCAAAGATACACCATTTCAAAAAATTTTTACATGTACAATTCAGTGACATTAATTACATTCTTCCAGTTGTGCTGGTATTCTCACTTTAGATGAAGGTTTGTTTATAGGACAAAATAGTTTCTTATGAAGCAGTACACATATTGCCCTATGACAGTGGTTAACAACCCCACTACATGTCAACACTGTCCTTATCAACCTTGGGTTCCCTATCACCAGCTTACCTCTCCCCTTCTGCCTTCTAGTCCTTGTCCCTGGACTGCTGTGCCTCATCAGTCCCGTTTTGTTTTATGGGGCTGTCCAATCCCTGGCTGAATGGTGAACCTTGGGAGGGACTTCACTGCTGAGCTAAAAGGGTGTCCGGGGGCCATGCTCTCGGGGTTTCTGCAGTCTCTGTCAGGCCAGTAAATCTGTTTTTTTTGTGTGTGTTAGAATTTTGTTCTACATTCTTCTCCAGCTCTGTCCAGAACCCTCTGTTATAATCCTAGTCAGAGCAGTCAGTGGTGGTTGCCAGGCACCACCTAGCTGTACTGAACTCAGTCTGGTGCATGCCTTGATAGCTGTGGTCCATTAGTCCTTTGGACTAATCTTTTCCTTGCATCCTGTTCTCTTCATTCTCCCTTCCTCCTGAAGGGGTGAGACCAGTGGAGTATCTTAGATGGCTGCTCACAGGCTTTTAAGACCCCAGACGGTACTCGCCAACGTAGAATTGTCGTTATAAACTGTGTTACGCCAATTGAGGTGGATGTTCCTTGAGACCATGGTCCCTACAGCCATCCGCCCAGCAATTCAGTCCTTCAGGGAGTTTGGATGTGTATGGAGCTTCCATGACCTTTTCCTTGTACAAGTTGTGCTGGCTTCCCCAGTATTGTGTACTGTCTTACTCTTCACCAAAGTTACCATTTACTTATTGTCTATTTAGTATTCCCCCCACCCCTCCCATCATTCGTAACTCACAAAAATTGTTACTTTTTGTGTGTAAACTTTTTCATGAGTTTTTACAATAGAGGTCTCATACAATATTTGTCCTTTTGTGAGTGATTGACTTATTTCACTCAGCATAATGTCCTCCAGTTTCAACCATGTTATGAGATGCTTCACAGATTCATCATTGTTCTTTATTGTTGCATGATACTCCATTGTGTGTTTGTATCAAAAAAATAATAATAATACACCACGACCAAGTAGTATTCATGCCAGGTATGCAAGGATGGTTCAGCATTAAAAAAATCAACCTAATCCACCACATAAATAAAAGGAAAGAAAAGAATCATATGATCATCTCAATTGATACACAAAAGGCATTCAACAAAGTCCAACACCCATTCCTGATAAAAGCTCTCAATAAAATAGGTATAGAAGGGAGATTTCTCAACATAATAAAGGGCATCTATGCAGAACCAACAGCCAACATTCTTAATGGAGAGAGGCTGAAAACAGGAACAAGACGATGCCTTTTATACCACTTCTATTGGCTAAAGTTGTGTTGAGAGTTTTTGCATCTGTATTTATGAAGTATATTGGTCTATAGTTTTCTTTTTTAGTGGTGTTTTTACCTGGCTTTGGTATCAGGGTTATGCTGGCTTCATAGACTGAATTCGGGAGTATTCCTTCCATTTCTGTGTTCTGGAATAGTTTGCGTAGAATTGGTGTCAGCTCTTCTCTTCGTGGTAGAATTCTCCAGTAAAGCCATCTGGGCAAGGTTTTTTTTTGTTGTTGTTTTGTTTTGTTTTGTTTTGGGTGGGATGGTAAGTTTTTTATGATCTCTTCAATTTCTTTTTTATGAGTCTATTCAAATTTTCTGTCTCAGTTTGTGTTAGTTTAGGTAGGTAATGTGTTTCTAGAAATTTGTCCATTTCTTATAGGTTTCTAAATTTGTATAATTTTTGATAATACTCTATTATCCTTTTTGTCTCAGTTGGTTCTGTTGTAATGTCACCCGTCTCATCACTTACTTGGGTTATTTGCATCATTTCCTTTGTCAATCTGGCCAGATTAGTCCAATGACAAATGCATAGACCAATGGAACAGAATTGAGAACCCAGAAGTAAAACTACCTAGGGACAGCTGATCTTTGACAAAGGGTTGAAGTCCATTAAATGGAGAAGAGTAGACTTCTGTGGTGCTGGCAAAACTGCAGAAAAATGAAACAGGATCCATACCTCACACCATAACAAAAACTAACCCAAAATGGATCAAAGACCTAACTGTAAAACCTAAAAGTATAAAGTTCATGGAAGAAAACATAGGGAGAAACCTAGGGGCCCTAATTTATGGCATAAATAGACTATCAAACATAACTAAAAGTGCACAAACAGCAGAAGATAAACTAGATAATTGGGACCGCCTAAAAATACGCTTAACAAAAGACTACACCAACAGAGTAAAAAGAGAATCTGTAGACTGGGGAGAAAAGTTGGGCAACAACACATCTGACAAATCTAAAATTTTTATAAAACTTCAACAACGAGGTGGGCAAGGACATGAACACTTCTCCAAAGATTTATTCAGGCAGCTAACAAACATGAAGAGATGCCGAAGATCGTTGCTGTCGAGTCCATTCCAACCCGTAGCAATGCTATAGGACAGAGTAGAACTGCCCTATAGGGTTTCTAAGGAGTGGCTGGTGGATTTGAACTGCTGATGTTTTGGTTAGCGGCCAAGCGTTTAACTACTGTGCCAAGTCTCCCTTCAGCCATTAGAGAGATGCAAATCAAAACTACAAGGAGATACAATCTCACTCTGGTAATAATGGCACTGATCAAAAAACAAATGCTGGTGAGACTGTGGGAAGACTGGAACTCATACACTACTGGCGGCACTGCAAAATGGTACAACCATTATGGAAAATAGTATGGCACTTCCTTAAAAAGCTAGAAATAGAAATACCATATGATACAGCAATTCCACTCCGAGGTATATATCTTAGAGAAATAAGAGCTGTGACACGAATAGACATATGCACACTCATGTTCATTGCAGCATTATTTCACAGTAGCAGAAAGATGGAAACAACCTAAGTGTCCATCAGCAGATAAATGGGTAAACAAACTGGTACATGCAATGGAATAATGTGCTACGATAAAGAATAAAGATGAGTCCGCAGAACATAACATGGGTGAATCTGGAGGACATTATGCTGAGTGACATAATCAGAAGGACAAATATTGTGTGAGACCACTATTATAAAAAGTCAAGAATAGATTTACACACA